TCCAGAAGGCGGGCCTTCTCTGCTGTAGCCCCTGCCCTTTGGAACATCTTGCCCCCGGAGGTGAGACAGGCCCCCTCACTCCCGGTCTTTCAGAGGAGCTTGAAGACCTGGCTCTGCCACCTGGCCTGGGGTGGGGAGGGAGGTCATCAGATACGGGGTTGGCTAGCCCCCTAGAGTCGTCTGCAGCTCTGGAACCATCGGCCTCTTGGGCTTTTTCTTTTTTGGTAGCGCTTTGTATAGTTTTCATGTTTTATGTAATTTTGGATATATTTATTGTTTTAACGCATGTTGTAAGCCGCCCAGAGTCCCCCATTGGGGGGAAATGGGCAGGGACAAGTTTAATAAATAAATAGATAAATAAATAAAAACACATAAAACAAGACAAAACCAACCATACCAATAAAAACACGATAGAGCTCCACAAGCACATGACCCCCAGGCCTGGGTTTTAAGGGCCTTCCAGAATCCTAGCAGAGCAGGCGCCACTCATATCTCTGGGAGGATGCTGTTCCAGATGGCAGGGGCAGTGACAGAGACGACATTTACTTACTTACTTATAACCAAGTCTTCTGTTCTTTAGCCTTTCTAACTTACTTTCTGTAGATATTTGCTACCTCTGGATATACAGGAAGCATTATACGGGTAATTACATCCATCTCTCATTTCCCATAATGTGGTTTCCTAAGCTACCTAGAATCCCCCCCCACCTCAAATATAATTTTTAAAAAATAAGTTACCTTTTGTGCTCCCTTTGATCTGAGAACTTTTGTCCAAGAAAGTCTGCTATGGTTATTTAGCTTGTTGAAATTGGCTATGCTGAAATCTAGGGTGCAGGTATGGCTATGCTCTAAGTCCAATTTTTCTTTCTGTAGTATCTTGAACATCAAGGTGGTATGGTAACTTCTGCCAAAAATCCCACTGTTTTTACCTCTTCATCCAGTAAATCCCTGTTGTTTGGGATCAGATCTAGGATAGCCAATTCCTTCTTTCTTCTACAACCATTTGGAAAATGAAACAGCATAATCACCGAGGACTTTTTGGAATCTTGCAGTCTTGGCCAAGTTGGATTTCCAATGAATATCCAAGTAGATAAAGTCTCCCATTATTACTTTTTATCTCTTCCCCTTGAGAGTTCTGGTCCACCAGGAAGAAATTATCAAGATCTTATACCTGGGTCAACAGTCTTTAGCGCTTCCCCACAATAATATCTCATTTCTCCTTCTTTGAAGTCTTACCTGCATTGATTGATTGATTGTTTGGATTTGTAGGCCACCCCATTCCAAATGACCCTGAGCAGTTTTACCAAATTAACATGACCATAATGATTTTGGACTTCATTCTCAACTTTCTAGATCTCAATACATGCCTGCATGCCCTTCCCATGTAATGCCTCTCCCTCCTCCTCCTCCTCCTCCTCCTCCTCCTCCTCCTCCTCCTCCTCCTCCTTTATCTGGCTTATTCTTTTTTAATAAGGAATTCCTTTTAACTTTTTTCTTTGCATTTATTTATTTATTTATTTATTTATTT